AGAGTTTCAACTATTTAACATTTGTGTTACTGTACAACAGAAATGATAAACTATTTATTTTGTTGCTGTGACATATCTGTTTATAAAGTTGTGACTTGAGAGATCTTAAAAGTTCATTGATGTCTTTCAGTAAAAGAGTAACCAAATTTTTGGTGGAGAAATGATAAAATCATGCTTCCCGGTTCAGATTTTATTTTTATTGAATGCTGAGGGTGTTTTGCAGTAAGTGTAATCATGATGCATGTTTCAGAATTGAAATTCAGAAATGGTATCAACCACTCTATAGTGTTATGTAAAAGAGAATTCATTGGGTGAAATTCACTTTGTTGTCTTGGGCCACTAGAAGGCTATTGGTCACATCTCAAACTCCTTTTTGGGGTGATGATTTGTAGCTTTGGCATGAGGGCATCTCTATTCTTTATAAATTGAAATGAAAAATGGAGAAGGGTGTATTATGTGAGCTCTACACTTTTGGGGTCTAACAGCCTCGACCCATGGCAATTAAGAGTAATCTTACTTTGGGGGGCATTTGATGCCTTTATTTTTCTGAGTTTCTTTTTAGTAAAGAAAGATCTTTTACCTTATCTTAGAGGAAACATTGCTTCTAATCATTGCTTCAAATTCAGAAAGCTACCCAGGCTTCCATGGTAACAACCTTATTTTATTGGACAACTTTGCAGTTTTTATCTTACCAGAAGTGTACGTGCACAAAACAACAGTTCAGGCAGATCCTCGAAGTTCTGTCGTCATTTAACCGGTAGAAAGATCCTACTCAATAAAAGTGTCAGAGTCAATACCTTCTCTGTTAATATGGTGATAACCACAGGAAGTCTTCCATTATGTTTTAATTTATGATGGGACCTACCTGAAGGATTTAGTACGTCTTGTCCAAATTCTGATGTATGATGCTTGAGCCAACAATGCAAATCAGAACTTAGAAATATAAGAGATAGAGAGTGTAAAGCTCCCAAATTCCTCTTAGGCCACAAAACATTTTGCTTCTGGAATTGCTATGGCTATTGAATCCTAACCTTTGGTATTATGGGTCTCTTACTGACTTTAAAATATCTTACTCTCTCATAGTTTCAATGTTTACATTACATCCTTGTATTCAGATATATTTACCTTACATTTGTCTCTGGCTGGGTTACTAAAAAAATTTTATTCAGGTTTTTGCCCTACTTTAAGTAGTGTCCTTTCTTGAACAGGTTAAAAAAATTCTGATGGGACATCTCTGCAGTGTTAGCAACTTGCAGCTTGTTCTTTCTTGAATTTCTCTGTGGATAGAGATTGCAGCTACATCCGCATCTGGAGAACAGGAGAAGTGAGAGTACTTCTGTGCATCTACCCAAACCCGATTGTTTGTCGAAATTGTTACTTGATTGGCTTAACAGTTTTATTCCTCGAACCACATTTTCATCAGAGACTTGCTGATTTGCATAGAGTGACTTTCTGCAGGCAGTCATTATTTCACCTGTCTAGGAATAATGTGAAGGATCTCCCAGTATATCTCAATTGAGCTTCTTGTCAGACTAAAAGATCAAATTGTGCCTAGTTCTGTAAGACTTAAGAAATTTTCAAAGGACTGGTATGACTGAGGTTCAGACAAGTTATTTCAATACCACAAGAATATCTAATGGCTGTTGCAGGATTTGGTCCATACTATTTTATAAGTCTTCTGAGTCTGATAATACTTTAGCAGAACTATATGCTGTTCTCTAATTGCCCTCTTGAAGTGTATTGATTTCCAATGTAAAAATTAATTATTTGCTCGAATGTGTTTTAGAGAATAAACAGTAACTGTAGGGCTTTTGTGTTGAGCTGTCTTTGCATATTTTTTTCCTACTGGTGGCCAAAGATTCTGAATTTGTTCCATATTTTTCTTGATCAAGAATGGCGAGGTCGCTCTTCTATGTGTTACTGTCACAAGCTGTAAAATGGTGATAATCCCATTTACTTTGTTTACAAAATCCTTTGAGACTCACTGTTAAAAAGTAGTGGGATTTTTTTATAATAAAGCCGATTTCACTTCTAATATAGTTGGTAATTTTGAAGATTGAACAGATTTAAACTGCTTACATTTGACATATGGAAATGTTATCCAAGTTTAATTGCCTGTGTGTTTCTTGAGTGAGTAAGCATCCATTTGTTACATGGCCTTCATCCCTTGGCTTCTTTCTCCTTCTTGGTCTTTGCCTCTGTTACTGTTGTGTTACAATTTGAAAATGTTTTTCCTCCAGTCTCTCTCTTTCACTACTGTGGTATTATATTTACACCATAATTTTACTTTAGGTCATGTTATGTTATTGCATGCTTCTTGTAGGAATGACTTATCACAAGGTGCTTTCAGGCAAGCTGGATATTCATTGTATTAAATGACCAAAGGAAAAATCTTAGAAAAATGACTTGCACAAAATTCACTTTTATGATATCTTAAAAGTGAAAAAGCACGTATTGGAGAAAAAAATGTGTTAATGGTCGCAATAACTCTTTAGTCATCTGTATTTTAGCAGTGTTATGCCATGCAAATCCAGTGGAGATTTTCTAGTGGGTTTTATAAGCCTGAATGTTTTGATAAGAAAAGTATTCCATTTGAGTAAAAATAATTGCAGCAACACATGGTGTTTTGCTTAAATTTATTATAAGAATGCATAAAATTGTGTAATACAGCAGGTTGTTTACCTGGAAATCCCTCCCTGGGTCAGTCTGTGTATTCAAAATTGCTTACTAAAGCTTCCGTAAGCACTGCTCAGCAGTGTTGCAAAGTAAGTCTGAAGTTATTTAGCAATAGACTATAAGTATTCATTTTAATAAATTTGGTTTTTTAGTCTCTCAGAACAGCAGTTTGGGAACTTAATGGTGTTTGACAAATACAAAGGAATATTAGCCAAAGCATAAGCCAAAGTGGAAAGGAAGGAAGGAATTGAATGTTGAAAGTGCGCAAGCAATGAAATCGAATCATTCAAAACAGAATGTCATATATAAAAACTCAGCCTGTTGATTTCACCATTCTTTGCCAAAGTTAGCAAACCACTAAGGTATGACTTCTGACCATACTTTACCAAACAAAATATCAAAAGCAATCTTTTTACAGAAATCCACGTATTTTAGGATTGTTTCTTACAAGAAATTATTTTGTGATCCACTGCATCTGAAGTACCATTGTGCCCTGCAGATACTAGTTTAAGTCAGAGAGAACGTTGCGATGGAACAATGTGATTTTGTTTTTATCATGATCATACAGCTTCAGAGAAAATATAACTCAAATGTTCATATATGCTGTCTGTAATATGCTAAAAATAATGCCTGGAGATTCTTCACTGTTAAACGTTGTGTGAACAGTACGCTTAGGCTGATTATATGACATGTCTGTTGGCAATAGATTGGGATATGTGGGAAACGCACAGTGAAACCTTCACCTCCAGAGTGAGGGCAATGAAGTTGCAGTTCAGTAGTTAACATGTGTCCTTAGAAGGTTTTGTGATGGGCAGTTGCTTATAGCTTTTATACGCCTTTAAAGAAGTCAATCCCTGCATTAAGCCATTTAATCCTTTGTTCTGGTCTGTTCGGAAGAAGAAATTATTAGACAGCATACTTGTAGTACTGAAGAAAACAGAGTACATGTTTTTTTTATGCTTCACAGAGTAGCCCAGGAGAAAGGGGAAAGTATTTGCATGAATAATAGTCATCTGTGTAATGATTTCCTACCACCAAACTACTCTTACAAGAAAGGACTGTAGAATTCAAGAAACATGAAAGATGTTAGAATTACTTTCAATTTTTATTAAAATTACTCTTTTAAATAAAACTATTAACTACTTTTAATTGAATTTTTGGCCACTGTAGAGAAAGAATACAATATTAAAATGTGAAGCAGAATATTAAAAAGGCTTATTTTCTTTGAAGTAAGACATAAATAAGACATTAATGGAACAGAGTGCGTTTTATGGAACATGGTTATGCCTAATTACTCTGGGAATAGAAAGAATTGAAGTCATTAATTATCAATCAAGCACAGTGATTCAAGAGATTTGAACTCCTTTCTAGGGAAACAGAGATCTATTTGTAAACACTGGATACCTAAGCAGACATTCCTATAAAATGTATTACTGAAACTGCTTTATCAACATCATCTCTGAAGTGCTGATTTATGACTATCTAGAAGCTTTCAAATAACTACTAACTGAATATTTTAAAGTTCTAAGAAAGTCTAATTAGTCCCCTAAGTGGGCAACATGATCCTGATCCTATACACCATAAAAATCTAGCAAACTAAATATGGTACAAATGAATGGGACATACCACTCTGAGTTTAAAAAAAAAAAAAAAAAAAAAAATTCAAATACACTTTGCTTAAAAAAGCATCCACACAGAAATGAATGGTTCATTCCTCAAACTCATCAGAATCTGTGTTTGAATACAGGAAGTTTTCAGGGTCATCTGAAACAAACAGTTTAACATTTTTTTTCCTTGAAATTTCTGTTAGAAGAGAATTTATCACTGTAAAATGTTTTGTAGACAGTCAAGTACCATGTATGTTTTAAGAAATTTGATTCTTGCATTGCTGGAATGTTCATAGCTCAAGGACTTTTATATGTATCATTTTTAAAGCTGATGGTACTATTTAAAATGTTTTAAATTCAGTTAATCAAAAAGACAGGATCAAGTTGAGGGTTTAGTTGCATTCTTCTTTTCTAAAGTCTGATCTTGTGGCGGTATATCCGGGAGCATGGTTTGATCTATTGTGTTTAAGCATAATTTGTGTCAATAGAAATAAAAATGTGTGACATAATCTTGAGCTTCTATTTTTTACATTTAATGTTCTTATAATGAAACAATATTAAGAAATACACTACTACCTTACTTCAGTATATAATATAGTGTATCTTGTTTATAGTAGTAAGAAAGTTTTAAATCAGAAATAAGCAGACCTGTTAGTAGCAAAGAATAAATAAAACTGTGTTTCTAGAGCTAGGGATTGCAATGCAGAAGTTGGGTGTTTATTTGATCTTCTGTGGTTTAAGAACAACACTGCAATAGGATCTTATGCATGAAAATGCATGTGGTGATAGCTGTCTTGTATTGATATAGTTGTTTTCAAGATGAACATGTTCCAAACGTGAGTCTTCATTCTCCTTCTCTTCGCTGTTGTCATGAACATCATCGTCATTGATATGAGTCCTGCAGATGCATTCTGGAGGGACTGCCCTGTGACATTGTGGGCGGAATGGTACTTTAATTATTCAAGATAACTCATAACTTCATAATTTATTTTAGACATGCTGTTTATTTAGAGATTTAAAAATGTTCACTGAATCAGTACATTAAATTTTCTCAATAATATATTCATTGAGAACTTTTTCGAGTCATTCTTTTTAAACTTCTCTCCTTGCATTGTTTTTTCATTTGTATCACACACCTAGTTTTCGTGAGAAAAGCATGTTGCTCAGTGAAAACTTTCTGTGTAGCACACATAAGATCCTCTGTCTGTCATTCCTTTGCTTTGTAAACAGCACAGAGGAACTAGAGAGCATGCCTAACTTGCCAGCCAGGGCTGGCTGAAACCTGCGGAGAGGCCACTTTCTGTAGTCCTCAGCAGCTGATGACTCTTTGCAGTTATTTTGTAATCAGTTCGGGCTCCGGTCCAAGAGCAGAAAAAGCTGGTACTTTGCTGTGCCTGTCAAATTCTAGCTGCCCAGGCTGACATGTGGCCCAAGCAGTATTACACATTAATTTTCTGGAGAGACTGGTGCTCGGCATCTTTGAGCATTTTCAAGAAAGTGAAATCTCACTATTCTCTTATCATGTGCAGAAATACTGAAGTAGAAAACTCAGGATTTAGCTGCTCCTTCAGAATATTTTTTTTTTTAAGATTTGTTTAAAAATAAGAAGTTCTTAAAGCATGCCTTGTGACATTTGTTTTAATGCCATTAATGTTACAAAGAGCTTGGAAATTACCTTATTTTATTGTTGTTCAGTCTTAGAAAACGTAATTTTCTCATTTCACCAATTCCAAATGGTACAGACTTTAATTCATTGTGATCCAAAAACAACTCTCTCAGAGAATGATATGCTCCAAAAAACGAGACTGGATCTATTCCATCATCAGTAAGTTTGTTGAAGGACAGGTAGAGATACTCCAGCCCTGGCTTCATGTGACCAAAGACATATCCTGGAATTCTTTCAATCTGATTTCCTATAAGTATCAGATGTAGTAAGGATTTTGGCAGATAGGAAGGAACATGATATAACTTATTATAAGAGAGGTCAATTGATTCCAAGTTCCTGCATTAAAGGAGAAAGGGGAAAAAAAAAAGGGGGGGGGGGGGTGAAGAAAAATGTAGCATACTGTAATCGCATTTTTAATGCTACATTCTGTACAAAGCAGTGCTTAACATGATTACAAGGAAACTAAATTGCAAAGGGAAATTTGTTTCCATTAATGGAACAGAGTGCGTTTTATGGAACATGGTTATGCCTAATTACTCTGGGAATAGAAAGAATTGAAGTCATTAATTATCAATCAAGCACAGTGATTCTAATGATGGGAAGAAATCTACAGTAATGAGTATAGAGAGGAGGCTGAATAGGGGAAACCCAAGGGACTAATTTGTGATTGAGAAGCATTGTGGAACTGCAATAACGAGTTACACTGGAAGACACATAGTAAGTTTGGGACTTTAGTGATTATCCCATTGACGTGGATTTTAAAATTTTGTTCTAAAGCCCATTTGAAATTGAATTGTTTTGTGAACGGCTCCTCTGGAATCATTCCAATATGCTTCTCTTCCAGAGATGAGAGAAGCTGTTAGTAACAGTATGGTTGTTTCCAGATAAAGCAGTTTACGAATCCAGAAATCAACTGATAGGACTGTGGCTGACAGGTTATGGCAAGGTACCCTGCTTAGCACATCATTTACCAGAAGAATCAAAAGCAGTATTTTGCTGCTTTGATTCTCATTGCTTGCTCTTCTTACATTCTACTTTTACACAATGTGGCTACACAGTCTTCCCTTCATCTTGTTTACTTTTGTAATTCTTAATCTAATGGGAAACAAGGCTAGGGCAATATTAAATTAATTTTAAATGACCTGTGAGATAATTGTATATTAGTATCACATTACTGTATGAAGTATTATTGATAATTTTCATTTTTTTGATTGAATGGTCAGAAAAAAATGTTTAGACTTTTATGTTAATATGGTACAGATTTGAGATATAAGATCTTTGTTTGAAAGCTGACTGAATACTTGATTATACAATTTAAGCAAAGGAAATGAAGACAAATTACCTAAGGAAAACAAGCAAATCAAAAGATATAAAATTTCAGGTTAAAGGTAATGAAGTGCAAATTTTTATTTCACTAACTTACTACTAACAGAAAAATAAAATAATTGTGTTTTAGATTATTTATACTTACTCTTGGTTTATCCAAGCCAAGGGTGCTATTCTGTGCTCTTCTAATTTGTTGTGCTTTAGCACAATGACATTTATGTTTCTTGTATGGTTAAAGCAAATTTCTGACACTTCTTCAATTTGATTATTTTCAAGGTATAACTCCTGTAAGTGCATTTGGAAAGAAAACTTGTGAAAGCAAAACATGCTGTTCTTTCCCATTGCAATTCAAAATGTAGCTATTACCTGACCTCTGTATTATCAGAGTCAGTTTGTAGCTGTACTGTGGACTTTCAGAAATACAATTTTTCAAAGCAATTCTTTTGTTTTCTCATTTGTGAATACAGATTGCTTTGAAAGATCAGACAGAAAAATAGTTGTATCCTTTGTCATGAAGTTGTACACTCTAAGAGTATATAATGTGAGAGTGAGGAAGTTGACAGAAAGTTGTTGCTTTTTTTTTTTTGTCTTGGAAAACTATTAGTGACAAAAATATTAAGAGTCTTGCTTTCTTAATATGTTTGCTGGGCAGTTTTGAGCTTTGAAACTTTCAAATTTGTAGGAATATAAAATGATAGTGTTTTACAAAACTTAATGTAATGAGTCTGCATCATATCAAAACTGCTTGTTTTATGTAGATTAAGTTCCTGTAGAGGAAGGCTTTGGGAAATGAGAAAAGCAACTTTATAGCCTGAAAATCATTGTTTGCAGATTTGTTAGGTGTTGGTTTAAAATTAAATGTTCCCAAAGAACAAGTGTAGGAAAACATGCCAGGTGCTCACTGTTTCGTCAAGGAGGGATGAAGTGAAAAAAAAAAGAAGAGTGTAATGTGTGAGTGAGTGGGTAATGGAGAACATTAGGCTGAAGTAAAGTTGATTATGGAAGATCCCAAGGATAAAAGGAAATAAAGACAAGGACACTGAAATGAGAAAGAGCAAAAGGAAAGATAGAATCAAGAGAGATGGTGATATTAATAGGTAGCAAAAATTATCTTTGAAATAAAGACTGAGGTAAGCAGAGAATGAAACTAGACAGAGATTGAAAAGGAGGAAGAAAATACCCTCCAGATAGCATCCCTAAAATACCAAACCAAACCACCGCATCCAATCACATTCAAATTCTGAGCAGAGGAATGAGATGGGAGACTACTAAAAGAAGAAATTTCTTGATTAAAAATCAAGGAATTGAGGAAACTGTTCAGGGAAGAGAAATAAACCTCCTGTTGAAAACCCCTTCCTCCATCCCAAATGAGATGGTATTCAGCTAAGGTTTGGAAAACCAGGGAAATTGAGATTTAGACCACCAGCCAAAAAAGGAAGAGGGTGGTTGGATATAGGCATCTCTCTTTCAGAGTAGACCATCTGGGTACCTTTAGTCTTTCCTTACGAAGCAGGTTTTCTAGATCTCTCCTTATCCTTGTTGCTATCTTGTGAACTTTACTCTGTGTGGTAACTCAAAGTTCACAATGTTTTTGCACTAAGACGTGATCTGTATTAGGAGTGTTATGTGAATGGTGTGTAACTGAAGAGACAGACGTTTCAGGCTACACTACTTCATGAGACAGTCCTAGGTAAATGCAGACTTAAAAGATACCTTTTGGCATGGAGTTGGTATATAAGTAAATTTCTAGAAATAGTTGGTATACCTAGAAACAAATTTATTAAATTTAAGTTTAAATCTACCTGATGATAGTAAGGCAGTAAGTAGAAAAAAAAGGTGAAGCTTTCTTGTTTTGTTTCATGGGTTTTTTGCTTTTTGGTTGTTTTGTTTTGTTTTTACCTCAAGAGTGGCAGGAAGACCTTGTGGGATAATTCTAAATTTATTTCTTCCCAGTCGCAAATAAGAGAGACTTTTCAAAGGATAAAAGGCCAAAGGACTGACATTCGCTTCACTAAGTTTATTTCCTTCTAATTCCAGGGTGACCAAGTTCTTTAAATCTGGGGAGAAAAAGTTGGAATTTCTGTTAGTTAATGCCCTGTCATATCTTGTTAAAATGCGTGTTTAAAATTTAACCATCTTAAACATTACTCAGATTGATTCACCACAATTAAGAAATATAGTGAAAGAATTTTCATTTGTTATTTCAGTCATAGAATTATATTGTTTATTAGTTTGTAGAACTTTAGAGATTGACTAGAGCTTTATTTACAGCTTTCTTTCCCGTTCAGCAATGAATGGAAGGCAGCTGTAAGCCTTGTGGATAGTGCTACCATTTAGGCCTTATTACTTGATGGTTCTGTGCGGATGATGTTTGGAACACTGTGGGTGCTGCCCTTTGTGCAGTGCCCAATGACCTCCATGGGTCTCCAGTTACTTAGGCGATAATGGGTGTGTTACTCTTTCTTTGGGCTCATATCTTCCCCTCCCTGCTTTACTCATTTCAACCACCTGCTGTCCTGTGTGGAGAACCCTTCATGGCTTATACTGTTCCTCCTCCTCAGCCGTCCAAGCACAGGTCACCGAAGAAACCAGTGTTGATCAGTGTATGTAAGCAGGAAATGTTATTTCATGATAATAAATTCCTCATTCACAAATAATCCAAAGAACCTTTTTTTTTTATTTACAGAAGCTTTTTATAGCTCCTCCTAACAATGCACTTTTATTTTTAACTTGTAGCCATTGGCCTAATTTTCCTTTATCTTAGCTCAAGCATTTCTCTTGCTCCATAGTGAGCTGAATCACTAAACTGATCCAGGTTCAATGAGGACCGTTTTGCCAGGAGAGGAAAGGGAACAAAAAAGTCAGTCAAATTATTACATGGATGGTACCCTTTTTTTTTCTTTTTTTTTTTAATATCAGCCCACATTTAGCTTGGCTTAGAATGATCATGATTAACTCCTATTATATTTTGCCTTACTTTTCATGCACACCAAATTCTGTTTGATTTCATGCAATTTAAAAAATAATTAATACAGTTTTACCACACAAAGCAATCAGGTTATGGGTTAGGAGACTAGGTATCTTCAATGTACTTCAGTCCATCTCTATTTAAGCTGCTTTTGGAGAGTAGCAGTTGCATAAGAAGGGAAAATGTAATTTTAAAAAACTGTGTCATGCAAATGTTTCAGCTTTTCTTGCCTTTTGAAAACATGGCACTTAAAAGGTAGCAATTTTTTTCTGGTTATATCAAATCAGATGCATTTGGTTGAACATTCTGCTTTTCAAATGTATTTTAATCTTATCATATGATAGATACTAGTTTTCTAAATACCTTGTAAGCCGTCTTCATCAATGGCATGAAGGTGGTTGTCATTTATTTTTATTTCTTCCAGGGTTGATGGCAATTCAGATGGAATATGCGCTAGCATATTTCCGTCCAAATACAAGCGTTTTAGCTTTTTCAGGATCTTAATCATGGGGATGAGGAAGAGAACTTAGATTATCAAGGTGTAAAATAATGGTTAAACATATAGTGTAATTATAGTTCATGTTTTCTTAAACACATCTTATTTGAAGATTTTCGGCAGCAGTGCGCTAGTACCCAGTGTTTTGAATTTAAAAAAAAAAAAAAAAAGTTTTTCTCCTTTCAGTCTAATTGGTGTCTTTATGCTAAATATTGACAAAGGTGCCAGTTAACTTAATGTGTAACCAGAAGAGCTTGATTGAGCACATCAACTTACCATGTGGCCATCCTGCAGCTATCCAGTCATAACTATTTGTATTACTGCTACTGTCTTTGAGTCATGTAGGTATTACCTTGCTACACTACTGGAGTATTTTGGAGTTCAAACTACATACATTTATACATTATGCGTTTGTACTCTTTAATTTGTGAGCAAATTGGTGGCTTTCTGTAGGTCAGCAAATCTACTTTACTCAAAAATGACGACAGCAGCTTTGTTAGTGACCTAGGATTTTTATGACTTCAGCCAGCTTAAAAAATTGGTATGAAAAATTATCGTAGCTGAATTTTGATAAATGCACATCAGTAATCATGCAGTAGTGAGCATTTCTGAAAAAGGTGGAGTTGTTTTAGTAGTGGATCCACTGAAGCCTGCTTTCCTCCAGTTGTTGTCGTACTTGCCTGGTGTGACATAAGCCTCACTAAAATTTATTTCATGATTGAGACACTTTCCTGGTTTGTCTTTTCCATCCACTTTGATTTTATAGGAGTTGTAGGAACTGAAGTCCTTTGAAATCAACCAAAACTGTTCATGGTGGTACACAGAGGGTCCTACAAGAAGACTGCATATGGCAGGAAACAAAATGAAAAACATACTGTGATAATTCGATTTGTTCATATGCTTCGAAAAGCGTATTCATCTTGCCTGAATAAGCAAGGCCTTGATGCCTTACTTCCACACGGGAATCACTACCTGAACGTACCTGCTTGCATGAGAAATTAATATGGGAGTATTCTGTCTTCAAGTGAGGAATATGTAGATGCACTTAAATAGTCTGTTACCATGTAAATTCCCCTTGCAAGAAAAAGACTGAATATGAAAAGATTCTTGGACTGTGGCCAAGAAGGCCAATGGCATCCTGGCCTGTATCAGGTTAGTGCTGTCAGCAGGTGCAGGGAGGTGATCAATCCTCTGTACTCAGCTTTGGTGAGGCTGCATCTCGAGTACTGTGTCCAGTTTTGGGCCCCTCTCTACAAGAAGGACAGTGAGGTGCTGGAGAGGGTACAGAGGCGGGCTACCAAGCTAGTAAAGGATTTGGAGCTTGTCTCGTATGCAGAACGGCTGAGGGATCTGGGGCTGTTTATCCTGGAGAAGAGAAGGCTGAGGGGAGATCTGTTCACTCTCTACAACTAGCTGAAAGAAGGTTGTAGCGAGGCGGGGGTTGGTCTGTTCTCCCTAGTAACAAGAGATGGAACAAGGGGAAATGGCCTTAAGGTGCACCAGGGGGGAGGTTCAGGCTGGATATTAGGAAGAATTTCTTTGCTGAAAGGGTTGTCAGGCATTGGAACAGCCTGCCCAGGGAGGTGGTGGAGTCACCGTCCCTGGAGGTGTTTGAGATGGGTAGGTGTTGTACTTAGGGACATGGTTTAGTGGTGTTGATAGAGCTAGGACAAAGGTTGGACTCGATGATCTTGAAAGTCTCTTCCAACTGAAACTGTTCCATGATTCTAAAGATAGTAAGCAATAAGCATACAGCTGATTACGTGAACTGCTATTGAGTGGATTTTTATGGCAAGTTCTGGCATAGGCAGATCTTTCTGGGAATCCAAGAGCATGAACTTTACAGAGCTGTAGTGAGAAAGAATTTATTAATGTTGAGCCTGAGTATCCCTGGTGTTGATAATGGAATATGAGCTCTTCAATTCTGAAATCTCTCAACTGTGAGTGATAAAATATCAGAAAATTGTCTGTCATTGTTAATCATTTACTACTTGGTGAATGTCATTCAAAAATCTCTAAATATTCTTGATTATGAAGATGGTAGCATTGTAGTTATACAATAGGTGCGAACTGTTTTAGATCTGTAGGCTGAAAAGCAGGAAAAACTTTCCTTTAGGCAACAATTAATCATAGCATAGTAGAAAAGTTAGGCTTTCTTACTTTGAATGCTTGTGGACCTATGCCAGGAGAGGTAATATTATTTTTACTCAGATCAATCCATTCCAAATTAGGTATCCCATTGAAAGCTTCATCTGAGACAGTAGTGATACTATTTCCTAGGACAGAATTCAAGAAAATAGTTTGAGTTATGAGTTACAGTATGCATCTGAGTTATCTAGAATTGTACATGAAAATTATATTATGAAAATAGTTGTATTATGTACAGTATTGGTGTGTAGATATATTCATATTAGTATTTAAGCAGTAAATCTAGAAGCAAATCTTAACATTTTTTAAATTATTTTTTTTTTTTGGAGGCTTAGCTATAAAATTCATTCTAATACATTTCTCTGATAAGCAGTGACGAAGTATTAACACTACTGCTGACTGCATTTGAGAATGCTGCTTCATGAGAAATATCATGCAAAGTAGACCCATTATTTACCTGTAAGGTCTAGACTTGTTAGATGTGGATCTGAGATTGGTGGTATTTGTGTAAGTTTGGCATTAATGCAGCTTACTGTAGTGTCCGAGGTGGAGCATCCAGATGGCAAAGGAGGAGCTTCTATGGGTGGAACAGGAATTGGGAAATGCAATGGCATTCTGAAAGTACCATCATCTTCATCACTTTCATGTTGTAATTCTTCTTCTACAGCCCCATTTCGTGTGCTAGGATCCTTTTCTCTGTGATAGGCTTTATACCTCCGTCCATTTTTTTTGCCCTTCCTTTTTCTTTTCTTTCCATCTTTTTTACGACCCTCTTTCTCTTTAAACTCTGCCACTTCTGTTCTAAGCAGTTCATTTTTTTCAGTTTGAGTACGTGCTGATGACAATACATTGGTGTTGTCAAGGTCATTGGGTTCTGGAGAATCACCAGACAACTCACTTATGTCATCCAGTGAGATCATACTTGAATCCAAAGAGGAGGCTAACCAGGGGCAATGAGAACAAAAAAAAAAAAAAAAAAAGTTGTCTGATAAGCAGATATATAACTAAACTTTTAGTAAATATTGTTCCCCTCATATAGTGAAAATATGGTAACTATAGAAGAGTAGCATTCTGTTTAGAATATGATTTGAAAGAATGAAAATATGGTCTTACATTACTGCTTGACAGAAGAGGCATACTTGGACTGAGAAATGATTAAATCAACCATCAGAACAGTTTGTAGACAGGTATGATTCATTGCAACTCCAGAAAAAAGGAGGAGAAATTAATATGACCTTCATTATCTTCCTTTTTGAACTAATATATTAATTAGTTTTTTGTATTGATGGAAGGGTCTGAAGAGGAAAAAGAACAGGTCTAAAGAGGAAAAAGAACATGTCTGGATGTGGGAGGAAGGTAATTTGAATAAAATTCACAAAGGTTAAGACTTGTTCTCCTGTGCAAGCGACTATCAAGTGTAGAGATGGCTGCAGGTGGGGAGCTCACCGGAGAAATGTGTTAGCTCCATTACCAAAATGCAGTTTTTGCTTGCATAACACGGCAATTCAAATAAAAGTTCGGTTGTTTCAATCAACATCACTTCTAGTTCTACAGTTAATTTCTGTGATGTCTTTCCTGAGCACATTTCAGTGTGTCACATATGCACGCACACACACATTAGGCTGAATATTTTATAATTTTTGATAAGAGTAGGTTAAGTTCAGTACTTTGCAGACTCAGGGAACTGGAAGTGGGGGAAGAAAATCACATTTCAACTTTATCTCCTCCATTCCTTTTCTTTTTAAAGATACTGATTTTGTTTAAATTTTTATGAAGAAAAAGCAAGATTGTAGTGTAATACGTTAATAATAACCAGTAGTGATTGATTGATCTTTCGCAAATGGAACTGGGATGTAAAATGTAATGAAATGTCCTTTCTTTGTACATTTACCAAAATTTTGTAAAGGTAAGAGGGAAGAAGCAGAAAGGGGAAAAGAAATAGAATTATCTTTGCTATTGCATACTTAACATCTTTTCTTTAAATATTATATCAGACTCATCTAACTTAGTGTACTCCAAGAAACTGAAGTCACCTTCAGTAGAAATTACGATGACCTGGTCTTACTATGTCATGCGGGAGTTGTTTATCCTTCTAATCATTGATATCATTAAATGTAGCATTTATGTTAGGTTTTTCATGACGTATTTTTAAAATAGTAAAAATATTATGGTGTACTGTACCAGTGTCAGAGCAAACTGGGCAGCATTCTCCTGCAGGTATAATAGTTGTGGAACATTTCAGAGGGTGGCACATGGTTGTATCACATATCACTTCTCCTTTTGAACAGAGACACGTAATGCAGGGCTTGGGAGACCAAACGGCTTTATCATACATGATTGTCCCGTTAGCTGTGCAATACCCCTTCTTTCCTAAGAAAAGAAAATAGAAAATTGGAGTTAAATAGCTTAAACTGAACTAAATCTGACAGTGTTTATTTAAATCTTTGGAAAGAAACACTACTATTTTGTTCTCATTTTGAAAATATGTAAAATACACCCTATTCTTAGTATCTTAACCTTATTCCTTATTTTTATAGCTGTATTCTGTAGAATCATAGCATCATAGAACAGTTTCGATTGCAAGAGACCTTGAAGATCGAGTCCAACCTTTGTACTAGTCTCCAGTCCCTGTTTGGTTCTTGGCCTCTCAGCTGTGACAGCAATTGAGGAGGAGGCACACAATTAATGTGTATGTAGCTGTTACCTGCTTACAACCTCACAGTGAAAACTGAGTGTAGGTTCTTTGTCCTTCGAATTGCCTGCTCCCTCTATTTCAGGCAGTCATCATAACAGTTCATTTTCCCCTCTTCCTAGCCATATGATGAGGACCCTTACCTGCTTTGTCTTCTAGAAAAACTCTTGGATTATTTGAGTTAAGAGATATTCCGAAAATGGGAAAATTAAATCTAGATGGTGAGTTTCTGGAGGTCTTTTGCATGGCAGCTCCTCTTTCCTCTCTGTCCTTAGAAATGGAAAGCAGAAAACTCAGATCTCAATGAAAGCTGTGCATAGGTACAGTTGAGAAAGAAGCAGATGTTTTCTTCATCACAATGGAGTTAAAATAAATCATGCAGAACTTGAGATTTTTTTTTCCAGACCCCCTTCTGTTTCTCTCTTGTGCACTAGACATCTTTCTAATGTCTTGCACAGTCAATGAGAAAGTTTTGTTAAGACTCTGTGGAACCGGGAGGGTATAATATTCACTTTATAGTAACTGTTCATAGGCTTAATCACTGTGAAGTCCATTCTGTAATGACTGGTAAGATAGCAAACATCTCCTCTTCCCTGTAACTTGCCTTATCTGAAAAAAAACTTCTCTTGCTACTAGGAAAGTACCAAGCTTGAACAACTTGTGCTAATAAATACTTAGTCTCCAAAGTTTCCAGACAAGAATCTACAAAAAATTGATATTTCTTCAGGGTACCAGTCAAAATTTTCAGAAAGTAATGTAAAAGAGATTTATTTTGTAAGCTATACTCAGTAGGCAAGTTGTTTGGACAGCATAAAGACTTGGGAAGGAAAGTATTCCAAGGTTTTCTTTCCTTCCAGTGGTGGAGTTTACCTCAGTGAAAGTTTCCCTGGGCAGTTCTCATCCAGACTCCAGGATAAACATTGCACTTTAGCATGATGCTTTTCTTTTGTCTTTTGAGAGAAGGAAAGCCAAGGTTTAGATTCTTCATTCCTTGCAAATCTTTTCCTAATTTTGAGTGTACCTCTGAATCTGGAGAGAATCTGTGCACACCTTCCTCTTCCTCTTTCTAATTAATGTAAGAATGCATTGCTGAAGTGTTAGTTTCAAGCTGAAACCCCATTTCGAAGTTACTTTGTACTTTCCTGTGTATAAATAAAAAATTTTTGTCTTTTCCCATTTGGTTTGACTTCCTCCTTCAGATGAAGATTGACTAATACAGTGGAAAAATCTTATCCCAACTGAACTTATATGCAAGAGACTTTCATTTGTGATAGTCAAATTGTCTTTGGAGGGATTGTTTGCGGGATTTGTTTTCCAACACTCCACCCTGGTTCATGCTTTGTTGTTCAGTTTTAAAGGGAAGACTATTCAGAATAGTCTCTAAATATCATGACAACACTATTGTGAATATTTGGTTTGAAATGTCTCTGGAATTAATATTTGACTCAAAATCAAGCATTTTGCAAAGTCCTTCAAGGCAGTCCTACTCTCAGCTTCATAACAAGGGCATTCCTTTGCCCCTCTATTTTAAGACAATTGGATATGAACCTGTTTTCTCAAATAAAAACTCATTATCAGAATCATCCTGTTTGGATGCTCCTCTATATTCCTTCTACTTTTAAAAAATGCTCTTTTGATTTAAGTTAGTCTCAGAATGGAAAGGGGGAGAAATTTTCTGGACAGTTGCATCTTGTTTTTCAAAGGTGCGGGATATGTATGCATAGTTTCAGCCACATAAAGTTGTGCCCTAATCAACTCAAGCCATGTTAACTGAAAGAGGAGGAAAGGAGTGAGCCCAGGCCAAATGTTAGTTGGCTGTTGGTCATTCTACCCAGGTATCTGTAATCCAGCTGTTTGCTGGATCCTGACTTCTGGTTTTTATGTGCTTGCCAGGAAGCCACAATATTTCTTTTAAATAATCTCCAAAGGAAACACAAAAATAACACTACACTTTTTCACGTTAAACAATAAAATGTCAGCTGTTCCAGAGGAACATATCTGGCTTGAGATGGAAATTCTTCTGTGCCTCCTTAAATTCTTTATTTTATTTTAGCTACTGGACTGTATCTGAAGTTGGTGCAAATCTTGTCTGAATAAGCATAAAGATATGGGTTATCAGGCCTTGGCCTCTGCAGACTTATTTAACAAATTGTCTTGTTTTCTGTGTGCATGGGAGTTACTTAAAAAGCCAGGACAAGAGTGTGTGTTCAAAGGAAAAGAGGTACCCTTTCATTGCCTTGCAGAACTACTACTGGGCTCTCTGTTGGAATTCACATGACCCCTATAAGACAGAGTAAAGACTGTGTTGAGATGCTCCTTGAACTCCCTATCCACTGAATAACTTAAGTATGATGGTACGAGCAGGGAGAAGTGGGGTTTGAGAGATATTAGAAATAGTGCAACAGTGTACATCCTATTCTGCACTGCTTAATGGGCAGACTGTAGTCTGTAAAGGACAAACAACTGCAAATTATCCTATGTCATGCTGAACTGTTTGATTTAATTTAAATGGTTCACATGATTTTTATATGGAGGAAGGAGGTATGTCTGGTTACTGTTAAACCTCTAGTTAACTGTTAATTTTCATCCTGCGTATCACATCTGTAAATTGTTTTTTAGGCTACTAGGAGCAAAATAAGTAGCTAAGAGAATGAAAATTAAGTTTTGGATTATATTTTCTTCTGTCCTGAAGCATGATTAATAATAGCATTTTGTTATTTAATAGGCTCTGTTTTTTCCAAATCTGACATTAACTTGAAAAAATTTTGAACTTTAAAAGCTAGACTGAAAAATACCTTATGGTTGAAGTCTTTGGCAGATGAGCACAGGACTTTTAACCTTTGGAAATATGGTGTAAATTCAGCATGAAATTCCAAATAAAATGAGTTCAGTGGTTTTAGCTCAGTTTTTGGATGCAAATCCAGATAGAAAGAAACAAATGGGGAGGGGAGGGAGGAAGAACCATGCATTATTTCAACATGACCGATGGTCTGTGACAGAGAGACTGGAATATCTTACATGAAGTCTATGCTATTTATGTGGTGTTTTCCTCTGTTTAATTTTTAAAAATATTTTTAAGTTAAAGGTTTGACATTAGTAGTATGTATTATAAGAGTAATATTGTAGTACACAGTAAAAATGCTATAGTCAAGAGTTTTGCTAGTTTTCCCATTAAAACCCCTTACTTAAAAATAATCGAAATGGTTCAGCCTTTCTGAAAGTAAGGACTCACAACAAATAGTAATTGTTAGGAAAATGTGACTAAAATATGTTTTGCCATTTAAGCTGAGACCTGTTAACCTACTGGTCGTGTCTCTTGTGTGACACACTGAAAGACTTAACTTTTGCTTAGAGGGGATTAAAAAATAGATTATTATCATTTTATGTGGAACAGTAGTAATCAGGCCTTTCTTACTTTTTTTCCATAAAATTCATAAAGTTGCGTATGATGATTTTACTCAGTGTGCAATCTCTTGGTGCTGGAATGGAAGTATCTATGTCTTTATATTTATTAACTAGAGTGGACAGAACCCTGTATTGGTTCTTACAACATCCCAGTGTCTTTTCTTCAACCTTTGAACCTCTTTCCATGAAAAGAAATGAAGTGTTATAACATCTCAGTAATTTTCAATTGATTAGTAACTGGGGCTTCAAAACTGAAAAATACTGATAGTAGGTATTCAGAAGTTTTTATCTTCAGAATGGATGTCTGATTTTTAGACTCAGGAATTTTAATTTGCGGTTTTGTGAGTCGTAATTTCACATTTGTGATATTGAACATAAAATCACAAGCATCCTAGAGCAAGAGTTCTCTCTTCCTTTACTGCACTAAGGATCAATAAGTAACTTAACATGATCAGTTCTCAAATCCCTGTCTAGTCTTGTATTCTTTGAGGAGACTGCGCAGAGGCCTGTTACAATTACCAAGGCAGGGTTTAGTAAAGATCAATGAAATTGTGCTTTTTGTTTGTTTGTTTCTTAAGACATCAAATCCTTTTCCCTCCATCTCCTTCAGAAAACATAAAATACATATTAGTGCAGCAATGTGAAAACCTCTAGATGACCAAAAAGGCAAGTTTTATATAAATGATACTATTGAATGTCTTTTAAATAAATCCAGATTCTCGATATAGGTGGAGCGTAAGAGTGATCTTGTGTTGATTGAGTGGAGTTTCTTCTCTCTTAGCTTAGTTTTCTGTCCTAAGCGTCTTGTTTGTGAGTTTCATATTGCAACTATTACCATGTGTTGTTGTTATTCCTGAAATGTTGTGTGTAGACATAGTTTGAATGCTGCTTTTCAAAAATACAACCAAAAAAAAGAACTTAAATCAATTTTAAATAACACTGGTGTTACTGGTGTTAGTGAAATGTTAATTGACCTGAGAGATATTGAGCAAGAAATTCTCCAAAACAGCCTTCAAACTTGCTACACATTTGAAGTTCTGAAAATTTCTCGAAGAAATTTTTAGTAGTTAAGATGAAATTGCAGAAAATATTACTGTTACCCGGCCAAGCAGGATTCTCTGTAAGGCTTAAGCATAGACAATAAAAAAACTTCATATGCTAACCACAAAGTTATTACAAAAGACAACAAAAGTAGGTTAGCAAAAAAGTAATTGAGTTTTATTCCATTGTGTTGCAAGCAGACCTAAAATAAAGCTTTCATGAGTTTATACACTTCATTTGAAAGCAAGAAAAATTGGCCCACTCTAAGTAGCTTTATTCTTACCTGGTAAGACACTGTAACTAGATTCATGTCCACCCAAACCTATGAGAGAGTCAAATACTCCCATAACACCGTCATCAATATTAATAAGATGTATGCTGGGTACTACAGCCACGGGAGCTGGAAGCTTCATCCTTGGCTGTCTTGGGGACCTGTGCCCTGCTGAGGAACTCCTTCCCAGTCCTCTGTAGTGTGTTCTCCTTTGCCTCCTGAGAAGTGCGCTGGTTTCATTTTGAGAAAAATCAATGCACTGTGACACAAGCAGGAAATAATAGACTAATGATGTAGCCTGCATGGTTTTGTGTGTCTCAGAGTGTCCTGGAATGGGAAGAAAGAGGAAAATTAGATAACTAGGGAGCTTTTAGGATTGTGTCAGTTGTATGGTGCACTTTTCAAAGCAGGTGGGCCAATACATGGTAGGTCAATATAACCAAGCTTCCTCTTGGAAAGAAAATGCCCTGTGAGAGCTGAAGTAAGCAATTTTAGTTTAGTTGTTCTCTGCCTTTAGGGGCAATAGTCAAATTCAGGTAGGTGCTAGCTTTGTATTTGGGGTTGCATTTAAAGAAGTAGTTTAGATTTGCAGTGCCACCGGGCATTTGTAGTTTAGTAGTTGTTATTGCTTCAGTCAAGGGAGTTCTTGAGAGCTGTAAAGTGTTTCTTCACTTTTTTTGATTGCTAATATTTCTTCCCATTTGTTGTATGTTCTGAATGTAGGAATGGCAAAATAACAGAAAAAAGCCCAATTCGTTTCTGATAAGCTGTCCCAAATGCTTTTGGTTTGTCATTTCTGTGCAAGGTATTTTTCACCACAGATGAAAAGAGATGTTGCTTTTGCTTTCATTTCTGACCATCCTCTTCTTTAACAGAATCTTTTTTGTTCTGCTGTAGAGAAGACCTTTTGGAAATTTGATCACAATAACACTATTTGTGACCTCTCACATCTACTTTTCTAGTGGAAGTTTTTATTAAGCGTAGGTAGTCTAAAAAGGTTGCTCTATAATGTATTGTGTTCTGTATTTACTTTCTAAGAAATTCAAAATGGCTATATCTTGAGCCTTCTTAGGCTTCTGACAGAACTACTGTCACCAATAGGTGGCATTCCAAAACAGAGCAGTCAAGATTCAGGAGTATGCATAGAAAGCCTATCCAGCAATGGCTATACCAGTGTGGAAATAAGGCCATGCATGTCCAAAGTTATTACTGATTGTCATAGCTCTGTTGACATAATTCTTTCAAAAAAGAAATGCTCTTGTCCTGTGGCCTGTTTTAAGTGGGATGGTAGAGTCTGAAGACACTAGTAATCTTGCGATGTTGAGAATTAGTGAAGAACTTGAGAATTGGTCTTTGTTTCCAAGACAAGGCTTAGAGAATGTCCATGGTCTTTCTCTAAGGAAGTCTCGAGGGGATTAAAAAATGCTTTTTCTTAATGTTCATCAGTCTGGCTTCATATGTAGTCTTTCACTTTGGAGTTAGTCTTATAGTTTTCTATTCTTATGTAGTCTTATAGTCTTATATTGCATAAATACAGGATAATATTATTTCAGGAACTTGAACCGTGTTTTTTGCCTGAATCAGATTTGTTTAAAAAGTTTGTACATCTTGGTATTTTCTGATTTATATAATAGGTCAACTTTTTATTACAAGTTGCTTAACTTTTATTTAACAGGCATGTGATTGATTGTGTGTTTTTCATGCTTTCCACAGCATAATTCTCATATTTTTTTTATTCTCATGTTTTCAAATGGGAAGTTGGCAGTAAATAAGCTTAAACTAGTATGCCTTTATTTCTTTCTAGTATTGTAGTTTCTGCGTTCAACTATTTTAATTTTAAAATATTTTAGCAAATATATATATATTAATTTGCAGGGTTGTTAAGCTAAGCTAATGTTTTCGTTTCCATATAAAGGGAATTTGAGATGCATCTCACACAAATCCAAGTAACATCTCATGTCATAAGGGTTCTGAAACTAATCCAGACTTTAGTTTACTGCTTTTTACCCATGAGAAATCAGTTATTCCAAAATGCCGTAGAGACTTTATACTGGCCTTTTATTTACAGAAATTACTGTTAGTTAACCTATCAAATAGATGCAGAAGCTTGTACTCTGCATTGATGGTGTCTGTTCTTTTTCAGAAAGTGCTTGTTTCTAGTACCTCAGCTTGCAGGATGAATGACCTAATGGTTTTGGTTTCCAACTTGCACAGTAATGGCTGGCTATAAAATTACACGGTAAACTTCTGTTCCACAAGTTTGAATGAAACATGAAAAGAGCCCTTAGGGAAAACTGAATATACAAAGAAAAGTCTTGATCATGTGTATTCATTCTGTTTTGTTAGTGACATCTTAATTATGGTCACATTTTTATAGTATACTTTATAATAACACCATAGCTATGTAGTTACAATGCTGCTACGTTACATTTGGGCTTTTTTAACGTTTAACCATTTCTTCCTGTGACCAGAGGCATATAATGGCATGATAAAATACTTTTCCATTCTTGTGCGTGTATTTTTAAAAGTCAGGACATTTACTGTACCAACGATGTCTCAGGGTTTTGCTGTTAACTTCAATATAGAGTAAAACTCTATAGTAAATCCAATTATTTTAAGTGAAACTTGTTTTCATTAAGTACATTATAATACAAATTAAAAAAACCCAACCCAGAAGAAAACAACCCCCCAGTAATATTTCTTTATAAACGAATCCTGTTCATATATGCAAGTTTATATGCTATATTTTCACACCACCTTAGCTCTTCAGCACTGAAAGCTGAATACTGCTGCTTACAACCAAATGCTGTTCCTTGCATGTGGAATGCTGACCTACATTTTGAAGTTTCTTTCCTTGCCTTATTTATTAAGTGCTGTCTCACATTTTAAGGACCAAATTGTGAATGTCATATAAGAAAAAGGCCTTAAATACACTGGGCCTTTACTGCCCATGACTGGAATCCTCAGATTATCTATCAGGAAGTTATATTTAGTATAGTGCCAGCCAGCTATTGATTTGGGGAAAATTCAACCTATTCAACTTATATGATTTTTGCAATAAATGAAAACATATCAAAATAAAATTATAGATAGCTAATATAATGAAATTGTTATATCTTTGTGTTGCCAGACACTCTTAACATGGCTGCATTGCTATACCTTCTTTAATTTTACCCATAAATGTTTTTGATCATGCATAGTATGTGTAAGCATCTTTGTTACCTTCAGTTTTATCATGTAAT